GTACAGGGTCCTCCTTGACTCAAGATGAACTTTCTCTGTGGAGCCTTCTCATTCCTCAGGCAAACCAGGCTCCTGTCAGGGTATGCTACTCTGTTGCCAGACATTCCTAGACATGGGAGCTGGGAGCCTTTCTATGAAAGGTTGGGAAAATAGATTTGTGTCAGGTCACAGAAAGCTTCCAATACAAACAAGTTTTAACCTAATAGGTTAGGCAAGGAAGCCCTGAATTTGTTAGAGCTGAAAAGCGATTTGGATAAAAAATTGCTAATAGCTAAGCTTGTTCCCATCTCAGAGCCCATGTTCTTGCTCTCCTTATAACTGCAATAATACCTCAATAGAGAAGCTCCAAACAAAGTACTCTACATTGTCTTGTCTTATTTTGTTTCTAGTAGAGTCCTTATCACTTTCTGAAATCACAGTTTTCTTCTTCGTTCCTAATCCATCCAAACGAGCGGGGAACTATCTGTCTTGGTGTTACATTGACTATGCGCCTGGCTCATAGTTAATATTCAATAAATGTGTTGAACGAGTAAATGAATTTGGTCTGATAAATGGATTTTGATGGGAAGCTGAAACCTGGAGAGTGAAGGCACTTATAACCTCCTTAAGGGTGCACAGCTCATTATTGGTAAAGATCTGACTGGTGGTTGATGGCTGTGTGTCACTGAGTTGGCGCCAACTCATAGTGACCCAGCATAGGGTTTCCAAGGCTGTAAATCTTTTGCCATTGTGGTAGGTGCCATCTAGTCAGTACCGATTCATAATGACCTTATGCACAACAGAATGAAACACTGCACGATCCTGCGTCAACCTCAATTGTTGCTACGCTTGAGCCCATCGCTGCTGCTGCTGCTGTATCAGTCCATATTGTTGGGGGTTCTTCCTCTTTTTCTCTGAGCCTCCATTTGTCCTTCTTCAGGGACTGGTCCCTCCTGATAATATGTCCAAAGTATGAGAGACAAAGTCTGGGCATCCTGGCTTCTAAGGAGCATTCTGGCCGTACTTCTTCCAACACAGATTTGTTTGTTATTTTGGTGGTCCATAGTACTTTAAATATTCTCCTCCAACACCTAACTCAAATGCATCAATTCTTCTAGGGTCTTCTTTATTCATTGTTCAACTGTCACATGTATGTGAGGTGATTATATTAACCATGTTTTGTGTCAGTTGCACCTTAGTCCTCAAATTGACATCTTTTGGATTCAACACTTTAAAGAGGTCTTGTGCAGCAGATTTGCCTCATGCAATACCATTGTTTGATTTGACTGCTGCTTCCATGAGTATTGATGGTTAATTTGACAACTTCAATCTTTTCTCCATTTATCTTGATGTTATTTATTGATCCAATGTTGAGGCTTTTTGTTTTCTTTACATTTTTGAAATCCTCTTATATTAAGTATCTCCTCTGTACTAGGCACTACACCATGTACTTTACCAGTGTGGTCTGATTTACAACCTCTATTATAGTCTTAGGAGTCCTGGTGTGGTATTGTGGGTTAATGTGCCAGACTGCAAAGTCATTTGAACTGCAAGGTCAGTGGTTCAAGCTCACCAGCTGCTCCTTGGAAACCCTATACAAGGTCTCTATAGGTCAGAACCAACTCTAGGGCACTTCACAACAACAACAATAATTATAGTCTTGCTGTGGTGCTGGAGGATCAGCACTGGACCACAAGGTCAATTTGAACTGCAAAGTTGGTTCGAATTTACCAACTGCTCCTTGGAAATTCTATACAGGGTCACTATGAGTTGGAAATGACCCAATGGCACTTAACAACAACAACAACTACTACTACTTCTGCTATAGGTACTAGAATCTCTGGGTGGTGCAAATTAGCTTAGCTACTAACCATAAGGTTGGAGGTCAACTCCACCCAGGGGTACCTTGGAAGAAAGACCTGGTGATCTGCAAGTACTTCTTTTTTTTCAAATCAGCCATTAAAAATCCCATGGAGCAAGTTATTGACTCTCCAGTCTAGGAGCGGAGGTCTCTGGGACCATCAACGGAGAAGAGCCCGAGAGGGGGACCCTACTCAGGGAAGCAGGGAGGCCAGAGATGGAGGCAGAGAGGATGACGTGGAGTGATGAAGCGGATGGGGACTTTGGATCCAGAGAGGGAGAGGGACTGGGTTCTGAAGAATGGGGGTGTGGGGGAGTGTAGGGGGCAGGTTTATAGGGTATAACCTTTGGTCGGTTGATGATGCATGGAGGGGATTGCAACCATGGCAATGAGATGATATACAATGGAATGAATGTAAAACTAAAGTTCTTTCATGTAAAATATCATATAATTCACAATAAAACATGAAAAAAAAAAAAAAAAGAGGATGGAAGGAACACACAGAGCCACTGTACCAAAAGGAACTAGTCAATGCTCAAAAAAAAAAAAAATCCCTGGAGCACAGTTCTACTCTGACACACCATGACTCAGAATCCCCTTGACGACAACTGATTGCTATAGGTTGGATTAATGCCATTTTTATGGGCCAAGGAAATGATGGCACAGGAGTTTTAAAAAAGTACCCTCTTTACCCACTTTTGAAGTTCCTGATCCCCAGCCTTGCTTGACCTCTTCCCACCCTCCACACAGCTTCTTTGTACATAGGATTAAACCTGGGAGTTTTTCTTTATGATGGCCACTGTGTTTGTGGGCCGCAGTCAGTTGGGAGAGGGGAACTAGAACTATGTATTGATTCTGGGGAAGGTGGGCAGCAGGGATAGGTGCATCTCACTTTGCCTTAGAGGAGACATTGAAGCACAAATCAGGCACTAGCCTCTTTTGATACAGGAAGAGCAGCTAGAGGTGGGGAGAATGGGGACTCTGTTAGACACTCAGAGTTCACCTTGATGGTCTTTGGCTCAAAGCTCTGTAGAAGGCAGCATGGGGGAATCAGACAGGGCAGGCCACTTTTTCCTTTGATGGACCACAATCTAGGGAAAACTGGGATGGATGGGTGGGGTGGGTCAGCGTCCAGTCTAGATTAGGGGTATTGTGAGCCCATTCTCTTCTCCCCACCATTGGGCTCCTTTCTTATAGTAGGGAGCTCCTGTGACCCCTTGCCTACCCCCAAACAGATGATGACCCTTCAGCTCCGGATATTCCAGGACAGATGTAATTTAAAATTTGCTGCCTAATGACAGGTGTAATTTAAAAATATAAGTTTGCCTAAGTACACTTGTGCCTGTCAGACTGTGGGTCTCTGAATTTTGAAAATAAGGTCCAGGGGCCTAGGACTCAGATCCTGCCTTCTACTGGTTTCCGTTTAGGTTACAGGGCTGTTTATGGTGTTCTTTGTGCTGAGGAAGGCTTAGGCCTGGTCTATGTGTATGTGTGTGTGTGTGTGTGTGTGTGTGCTTGCGCTTACTTGGGGGATGGTGGGCCCAACCCAGGGCTTGTCTCTGAGCACAGATGGCAATCAGCTGGCTGTGGGTGTAGCGTTAAGGAAGACTTCATAGATTATACAGGCAGTACCAGGTTATGAACGTCCAACTTCAGTTCATCCGGTAGTTTTACACCAACCCCAGTGAAACCTATTAAAAATTTGAGTTACATACATACAGTAGTTTGTAATAACTAACAGGCACTACATTGGAATATTTTTCAAAACGTTATTATGATTATTGTACTATTAAGTTAAAGATATTTTAGTGTATCTGGGTTTTTTGTTTGTTTGTTTTAGGTATAGCAAGGTACACTTATATACGTTGTTGTTGTTAAGTGCTGTCGAGCCAATTCCGACCTATAGCGACCCTGTATAGGGTTTCCAAGGAGCAGATGGTGAGCTTGAACCACCGACCTTACAGTTCAAACGACTTTGCAGTCGGTCGCGTTAGACCACAGCGCCTTCAAAAAGTTCGTGGAAAAATGGAATCGATAGATAATGGAATTTTTCCACAAACCTTTTGAAGCCTCCTCTTCTATTCTAAAACAAACATTTGACTAACTGACATTAAATAGAACCATATCGAACTGTTTCGCTTCATGTACAAATTTAATTTTAAAACAGATTTAGGACACTAAACTAATTTCTAATCCCGGGCTACCGATGATATTACCAAAAAGACTCACTCTCATCCGAAGACCTCCCCCACAGTATAATTCAACTTGCTAAAAAGGGCTTTCATAAACAACGCCAGTCTTAGTACTCGGTCAACCTCTTACCACTTCGGCCCTGGGGGGCTTCAGGAGGGTCTGGGCTGCCTGCCAGCCCCAGGCTCTCCCCAGACATCCGTGGGGGGTGGGGAGTCGGTCCTATTACCTTTTCCTTCCGGTTTGGTCTCCAGCCCATAGTTTCTTCAGGCCGCAGCCTCCCAGGGCTCCCCACCCGGCTCCACCTTAACCCTTTCCTCTATGGACCGGAGCACTCAAGAGGTCCCAGCTCTCCTGGGAAGCCTGGGAGGTGGGAGAAAATCCTGTCCTAAATCTCAGATGGAGATCCCTGGAAACTAACATATTCCCCAACCCGAGCCCTCCTCCTTCCTCTTTCGTCCACAGGGAAAGGGAAACGTGAAAAGAAATTAGGTTTGACCCCTGTTTTCTGGCTCTGGGCCCCAAACTTGGATGGAAGGCAGAGGTTTCCAGAACTCTTCCTCGCCCCCTCCGCCCCGTCTCGTTTTTCCCTCCCTCTGCCTCCCCTCGCCCCTCTTAAACTACCCAGTAGAAGTAGAAAGAGTTTATCCAAGAGGGGCAGGCGGAGTGATAGAGGGGGAAGGCCAGGGGCGGAGGGAAGGGCGGCGGGAGCTCACTCAGTCCCACCCCCGACTGCAACCTCTGGAAGGAAGAGAGTGTTGCGGGGAGCTGCTGCTGAGAGGGTCCGAGCCAGAGAAGGAGGACGCCGAAGCCGTGGCGGGTGGGTTCGGAGCCCCAAGGAGGCTGGGGCTGGGGCGCGCCGGAGGAGGAGGGGGGCGTGGCGTAGGCTCTGGTTAGGCCTGGTCGCCTTCAGCCCTGGGACCCCACTGACACGGTTGTCTCCCTCCCTCCAGGGGCGCGCGGGGCAGCCATGCTCCTGTCGGGAGGCGACCCTCCGGCGCAGGAATGGTTCATGGTGCAGACTAAATCGAAGCCCCGGGTGCAGCGACAGCGACTGCAAGTGCAGCGCATCTTCAGAGTCAAGCTGAACGCCTTCCAGAACCGCCCGAACACCCCCTACTTCTGGGTGCAGATCGAGGGGCCACGGGAGAACATGAGCAAAGCCAAGGTAACTTAGCTTCTCTTCACCCCCTCCAGTCTTGGGAGCCAGGCCCCGCCCACTGCCCTGACCCTCGGGAGAAGGTTGCCCCCAGTGGTGTACCCCCACCCCCGACCTGGATTCGACAGTATTGCTGGCAAGTACTGAACCATCCTGTGGCATGTCCACATCTGCAGCCTTCACTCTTTCTCTCTGGTTCCTTAGTTCTTTTCTGCCCATTCGGCTCCAACATGTCACTCTGCTTCTCAAGTGCTCTCAGAGAGCTTTCCACGTCGTGTGTCCTCTACCAGGATCCCCTTGGGGCCCCAGCATTCCCAGTCCACTTCTCCATCGAGGAGCAACTTAAGCATTAACGTGACTTCTAGAACACACCCCTTTGTTCTCCACCAAGACTACTGCAGGCCTAGGTCTCTTTCTAAGTCTTCTTATATCTTGGATTAGAGTCCTGGTGTGGCGCTGTGGGTTAATGCGCCAGACTGAAAAGCCATTTGAATTGTAAGGTCGGCGGTTCAAGCTCACCAGCCTCTCCTCGGAAACCCTATACAGGGTCACTGTGGGTCGAAACCGACTCGACGGCACTTCACAACAAGAACAACAGTATCTTGGATTGCCCCTTGGAGACGACCAGAGTTAGGTGTGGAGGGGCCCTAGAGACTTATAGAACAGTCCTGGGCATTTACAGAGGAGACATTGGAACTGGAAGGGGGAATGTGCTTGCCTGAGTGCTCAGTGTTTGGTAGGTGGGAGTTGCTCAGAGCCCTGCGCTTCCTGTCCATACTCATAACAGGCTTGGCAGACTTTTGAAAGGCTCCTGGGTTGGGGGTCTGGCCGCTCTAGAAGGTACTAACTAGTCCTTGAGGGGAGGGCTGGCCATCTGGGAAGAGGGCTGTGGGCTTTCAGATAAAACTGTGGTGTGGACAGGCCAGGTCACAATGGGCCTCTTTTGCTTTCTCCCTGGCTTCTCTCACAGTTTCCCCGCCCACTTGGGCCTCTCGGTTCTCCCTGATCTCTAATTATGGCCAAGGTCTCCCTCTTCCCCCAGATTCTCATATCTTTTCCTGGTAGGAATGCTGCAGCCTCCCTCCACCCCAGACACCCCACCCTCCTTCCCTCCTTCCCTCCACCGCCCCCCCCCCCCTCCATACACACACCTTCTCCAGCTGGGTCTATACCAAATATCCCTATTGGTCAAGGCCATGGGTTGGGGAGGCCCTGAACACTGACAGGCAGGCAGGCAGGCTGGGAAGTCCCTCCCTCAGCCCTTCTGTAGAACTGCGATGTCAGCAGCTTTTCCAAGTCTGCCAGAGGTGTGTGGGGGAGGGGAAGGGTGTCTGCCCAGGGAACACATGTGCAGGGCCCCTGGGTAAGAATCATCAGGCACTGGGATAGAGTGGGTTAACTAGAGGAGCCTTTTGAATTCTTAAGCTTTTGTTAATACTGATACAACAGCTCTCCCTTTTATGAGCTGCACTTTGTGAGGTGCCCTGCCCCCTGCCTGCTCCAAGCTTCAATCCTAATTTCTCCAGGCCTGTCTGCTCCAGCCCTCACTGGAGCTCTGTTGCCCTCCTTCACATCACCTCAGGCTCTGGCTCTAGCTAGTGTGACTAGTTGTTGTTGTTAAGTGCTGTCGAGTTGGTTCCGACCCATAGCAACCCTGTATAGGGTTTCCAAGGAGCAGCTGGTGAGCTTGAACCACCAACCTAGTGGTTCAAGCCACTGACTTTGCAGTCCAGCGCATTAACCCACAGTGCCACATCAGGACTCCAGTGTGACCAGTTGTTCCCTTAGATTCCCTCCACTCTCTCCCCATTCCCTTTAACCTTCCCCTTGGGAAAGGCACTTTACAAGAGAGAAACCTAAATGTGAGAATGTTCCAAGCAACTCCCCACCATATTGCATAGAATGAGTTGAAAGTAAAGATTACTAGAGATCAGAGCTGTATGGCTGGGTGGTGGGGAGGGTAAGGCTTTGTTCCAAGGCTTAGAAGATTTGGTTCTGTTTGCTGTCACCAAGTTACAGCCAGGACTGAGGGGTGTGGTGGAGAGAGTTTGGGATTGGGGGTCAGGGCTGGGCTTGCTGTGTTTGTTTACTCTTTCTTGAGCCCTTTTCCTTTACTATAAAACAGAAAATACTGATACCCACTGCATGAAGGATTGTGAAAAGTCAGCTGAATTAATGCATGAGTAAATAAAATACTTTAAAGGAGCTCTGCTAGCGTAGTGGTTACAAATCGGGCTGCGAACCTTAAGGTCAGCAGTTCAAAACTGCCAGCTGTTCTGTGGCAGAAAGATGAGGCTTTCTGCTCCCGTAAAGATTAACAGCCTCGGAAACCCTGTACAGGGTCGCTGTTAGTTGGAACCGACTCCATGGCACATAACCACCACCACCATATTTTCTTTAACAAAACAACAGCAGCTATTGTTGTTAACTTACTTTATGAGGGGGCTTCAAAAAGGTTATGGAAAGATTCCATTATCTTTTACTCCATTTTTCATTGATCTTTTTGCAGCTCCCCTAATCCCCCATATTACTTTGAGCAAGTTCTTGTCCCTCTTGAGTCTCCTTATTTGTAAAGTGAGGGATTTAGATGAAACACTCCAAGGGCCAGTGATTAGATACATGTAAATCTCCCAAGTATAATGATGTCTTCTGGTTTCCATATGGAGATGATGTCGGCTGTCCCCAGTTCCAACTGTAGGGACACAGAATTGTGCACTGTGATACTGTTCTAGTGTATATAGGTCTGCTGGCAGAAAGCGCTCAGTGAGAACAGAGATTGTAGGAAAGGAGGAGAGGGGGGAAAAAAAGCTACAAACACTAGGGTGCAGGTGGGGCTGGTCTGGACCTGAGAGAAGACAGTGTCAAGAATAATACAAGTTTATCTGTATAGAAGGGCCTGGGTTACTTCTACATGATATGAGGCTGGTTATCCAGAAAAAGCTCTATAGAAATCAAGAGTGTCTCTAAACTGCTTTGTTATGGTAGAGTTTAAAAATAATCAAGATATGTCTAAAGAAATCACATTTACAGGCAACAAAACCCACCATTCTTTGAGGTGAAAGCATCAAGTGGCAAGGAGGATATTAATAACTGGCACGAACCCAGCATAACTCCTTGTCTGCTGTTCTGCCTTCCTTGGTAACAATGGAGGGTGAGATGGGCAGCAGAGAAGAGGGGACATTTGATGTCTCTCTTTTTGGGGGGCAATGGATGGAGGTAATGAGAGGCTCAGGAGCAATGACAATCAGAGAAAGTGACTTCTGGAGCCTTGGCTTGGCTGCCAAGTGGAAGTTGATCTGTCCTTGGGAGTTGTTCTGTCTCTGTTCCACACTAACTGAGCAGTGAGGTGGAAGTTGGCTGTAGGCAGTGGTATGCTGGTGTATTGTTAAAATTGCAGGAATTCTTCAATCCAGTGAAGTCCCATTTTTGTTGTTGTTAAGTGCCGTGGAGCTGGTTCTGACTCATAGTGACCCTGTCTAGGGTTGCCTAGGAACAGCTGGTGGATTTGAACTGCCACTTTGTGGTTCAAATCGACCTTGTGGTCTAGTGCTTATCCTACAGTGCTACATCAGGAGTCAGTGGAGTTTCATTGCTACCTTGAAAATGAGTAAGGTGGTAGTATTTATACCACCAGGAGTTCTGGTGTGGCGCTGTGGGATACTGCACTGAACAAGGTTGGTTTGAACATCGAGGTCACCAGCACATTGCCAGTTATGGGCATCTAATCATTCGTTTTTCCTTAAACTTAAATTTTATTTTATTAAACTTGTTGTTGTCAAGTGCTGTCCAGTTGGCTGTGCCTATTAGTGACTCTGTATAGTGTTTCTGAGGAGTGGCTTGTGAGTTAGAACTTCCAATCTTGTGGTTAGCAGTCCAGTGCTTATTCTATAACACCACAAAGTAGTACACATTTTAAAAGTACAATGAAAAAAACAAAACAAAAAACTTAAAATGTGAGTCTTGGACTATGCAGAGAAACTGAAAGGTTTGCAGTTTGAATCCACCAAGAGGCAGCTCAGAAAACCGTCGTGGTGAAAACCCTAGTGTGTAGTTCTGATCAAAGCACACAGGGCTGTCATGAGGTGGAATTGACTGCAGCAACTAACAACAACATAACAGAGCACAGTGCTCCCTGCCCTGGCCCTCCCAGCTCCCCTTTTCTGATTCCTCCCCTAGACAAATATTTGCTCTGACATAAGAGCCCTGGTGGTGCTGTGGGTTAGGTGTTGGACTGCTAGCCACAAAGTTGGAGGTTCAAACTCACCAGCTGCTTCACAGGAGAAAGATGAGGTTGTCTGTCTCCATAAAGGAAATCCTGAATAGAGTCACTATGAGTTGGAATTTTTCAAATACAGAAAATATGTATATAGTCTTATCTTATGGTGAAACTCATAGTGACCTTATGCACAACAGAACAGAACACTGCCCGATCCTGGGCCAACCTCACAATTGTTGCCATGCTTGAGCCCATAGATGCTGCCACTTTGCCAATCCATCTTGCTGGGGGTGGAGGGGGTGGGGGTCTACCTCTTTTTCTCTGACCCTCCACCTTACCAAACATGATATCATTTTGAGTTGTGCTTCATCAGCAAATAAAGGTTCTGTGGGCTTTTCTCCCACGAGCTTAACTCTATTCACGTCATCCATAGTCAACTCTACTCTGAGGAGGCAGCTCTTCCCCAGTTGCATTTTGAGTATCTTCCAACCTGAGGGGCTCATTTTCCGGCACTATATCTGACAGTGTTTCTCTGCTATTCATAGGTTTTCAATGACTAAATATTCGGATGTAGTTCATCACTCTTTCTTCCTAATCTGTCTTTGTCTGGAAGCTCATCTGAAACCTGTCCACCATGGGTGACCCTGCTGGTATTTAAAATACTTGGTGGCATAGCTTTCCGAATCACAGCAACTCACAAGCCACCACAGTACGACAAACTGACAGATGAGTGGTGGGTAGAGGAGAAGACAAGGGGAGAATAATGGCAGTTACATTCCAGAAAATATCTAAAACAACTTTCCTGCTAAAAACCCACCCAGACCTTTTTCTTCCAAGAGGAGAAAAGATAGAAGAGAATGTTGTTGTTGTTGTCAGGTGCCATCGGGTTGGAACTGACTCATAGTGACCCCATGCACAGCAGAATGAAACAATGTCTGATCCTGGGCCAACCTCACTACCGCTGCCACACTTGAGTCCATCAATGATGCCACCTGGCCAATCCATCTCGTTCGGGGTCTTCCTCTTTTTCTCTGACCTTCCACCTTACCCAGCATGACATCCTTCTCCAGTGACTGTTCCCTCCAGACAATATGTCCAAAGTATGAGAGACGAAGCATAGCCATCTTGGCCTCCAAGGAGCACTCTGGCTGCACTTCTTCCAAAACAGATCTATTGGTTCTTTTGGCAGTCCATGGCACTTTCAGTATTCTCCTCCAACATCACCACTCAAAGGCATCAATTCTTCTACGATCTTCCTTATTCACTGTCCAGCTTTCGCATCCATATGAGGTTATTGAAAATACCATGGCTTAGGTCAGGTGCACCTTAGTCCTCAAGCTGACATCTCTGCTCTTCAACACTTTAAAAAGTTCCTGTGCAGCAGATTTGCCCAATGCAATATGTCGTCTGATCTCTTGACTGCTGCTTCCGCGAGTGTTGATAGTTGATCCAAGAAGAATGAAGTCCTTGACAACTTGAATCTTTTCTCCATTGATAAGAATGTTGTTTATTGGTCCAGTGGTGAGTATTTTTGTTTTCTTGACATTAAGATGCAATCCATATCGAAGGCTGTGCTCTTTGATCTTCATAATTAAATGTTTCAAGTCCTCTTCACTTTCAGCAAGCAAGATTGTATCATCGACATAAGCAAATGAATAGTATAGACAGATCGTGGGTAACACCCCATCTTTTGGAGTGAGAGTACCTAAGTATCTCACCTTACGATCTGTGTGACTTTGGATGTATGTATGATCTTCCTTGCTTATCCAGAATGGGATGATAGTAATGTCCTTCAAGGACTGAGAGGTGGTACTACATAAGAGAATGTATGTAAAGGACCTGGCACATAGTGCGAACTCAGTAAGTATTGTTGTTGTTAAGCACTGTTGGTTGAGTTGGTTCCGACTCATCACTACCCTGCATAGAGTTTCTAAGGAGTTACTGGCGACTTGAACCACCGACCCTGTGGTTTAAACTGACTTTGTAGTCCAGTGCATTAACCCACAGTGCCACACATTAGTTCAGATTTATTATCTTGAAAATAATCTAAATCCAAATGGACCCAAACATACCAAAGCTTGCGAGGATGTTGTATGACTGGGCCGTGTTTGGTTTGCCAACTCAATGGCAGTTAACAACATGTATCTTTTTATTTTAAAAATTAAACAGTTGATAGAACAATGAAAATTCTTTTAAGCTCTACAAAAAAAAAAAGAAAGAAAACACTCTTAATCTTCCTCCCCAGCACACATGCGTATTCATTTTATATAATGTTTTCATATAGTTGGAATGTGAGACACAGCTGGATAATGTGAACAGGATACGGTACCCAGTCAGATCCACCCTTGCTGGGCAGTGGGATAAACTGAGGTTCCAGGTTTGAGGGGTTGGCTTGGGATGCCCATTAGGTTGAACTGAAAAGATGGTTAGACCTGGGCCTAAGTGTTTGCATGTGTATCAGATTCTTTGAGGAAGGGCTTGGAAGGACATGACCTGGGACAGGTAGAGGAGGTAAGCGTAGGCCTGAGTAGAGCAGGATGGCCTGGGAACTAAGCTGAGGGGCTTCGGTGGTCTTCAGGATGGGTATAAGGGATCTCAAACGGAGTGCTTGTTTCCTGATGGAAGGCAGGAAGAGGAGAGACTGTCCGAGACATAGCGATGTGGGAGGGCTTGAAGGTGAACGCAGTCAACATGATTCAGTTGATTAGGAGGAGAGTGATTTTGTTACCTTGGTGCTCAGGGGATCCTGGCGGTGGAACTCAAGCTATAAAGTAGAGGATCCCAACCTCTACCCCTCCTAACTAGGGCTAAAGATAGGGCTCATGAGGTCTTGATCTGCCTGGAGAACCAGAGGCCCTCCTCCTGGGTCAGCCAGTGTGTATATCTGACACTGGCCCAGTATCCATCTCCTCCTCTGGTAAGGCAACAGCACTACCGTGGTTATGGGTACAGCAGGTTATGCTAGAAAACCTTCTGAAGTGGGATTAATCCTGAATCCCCCAGGATCTTCTTCCTGAAGTTGCTGTGCAGTCAGCCATCGGAGGTGGAAAGCGTTCTGGTTTCAGAATCAGACAGATGTAGCTGTGATGATGGTCGTCATGAACTAACTAGGGACCCTTGGGTAAACTACCTAACCCTTCAGAGGCTGTAAAATGGCTCTAAAATGTGTACACTCCTATGCATTAACGTATTGAAGCCGCACAGTAGCAGAATAAATCAGGAGCCTTCATTTTGTTGTTGTTGTTAAATGCCATTAAGTCCGTTTCAACTCATAGAGACCCTGTCTAGGGTTTCTAAGGAGTGGCTGGTGAGTTTCAACCACTGACCTTGTGGTTCAAACCGACTTTGTGGTCCAGTGCTTTATCCTACAGCGCTACATGGGGAAACAAAGGTACAGGCGCGATAAATAACTTGCTCCAGGTCACGTAACTCAGTCACGTGTTGTTGTTGTTAAGTGCCATTGAATCCGTTCTGACTCAAAGCGATCCTGTATAAGGTTTCTGAGGAACGGCTGGTGAGCTTGAACCGCTGACCTTGCTGTTCCAACTGACCTTGCAGTCCAGCACATTAACCCACAGCACCACACCAGGACTCCAATTAGGAAGTAGCAGAGCCACAATTCAAACCTGTGTAGTCTCCTTTAAGCTTGTGTGCTTAGGCATCAATATCAAGTTCTTGGTATGTAGAGTGTACAACCGTCTCTCCCTTGACTGTTATAGAAGCCGGAAATGTTGGAGTAAGGATGGATCTCAGGCATTGCTAGCATAGTTTGTCATTTTATAGTTGGAGGCTGAGGTGGAGACGATGCCCACTTTGCCACAATTCCCCCTTATTTTTTTTGAGGCCAAGTTGGAATGAGGTCCTTTGATTCTGACTCCAGGTTTTCCTAGGCCTCTCCTTTCCAGGCCTCCTCCACTCTGCCAGAGGGTTCCCTGAAAAGACACGGGTGTATAAGGTGGCACATGCTTAGTAGAGACAGATGTTCTGGGTGGAGGCCAGAGCCGAGGGCAGGCATTCAGAAGGCTGATCTCCTTTGTGCTCATCTCACTGTGCCCAGGAGTATCTGAAGGGCCTGTGTAGCCCCGAGCTGTGGAAGGAGGTTCGCTACCCATCGGTCCTGCACAGCGCCTTCCTTGGGGCCCAGGGCCTCTTCCTCGACTGCCTCTGCTGGAGCACTTTGGCCTACCTGGTGCCTGGCCCCCCAGGCTCCTTGATGGTGGGCGGGCTGACTGAGTCTTTCATCATGACCCAGAACTGGCTGGAGGAGCTGGTGGGACGCCTGCGCTGGGGTCCTGCCCCTCTGCTGAGCCGCCGGGGGATCTGGGAGGCTGAGGTGACCCGGGCCTTTGGGGCGCTGGTCTGGATCCGTGGTGACCAGTATGCAGGGGACCTGTTACAGCTGCCCCCTGCAGTCCAGGAGCTGCTGCTGAACTTGGTTCAGGATGCTGCAGGCAAGGAGGACATCATCAAGTGGCTGGGCCACACTGGCATCTCAGATACCCTCTCCAACCCAGAGCTCCTGATCCGCCCTCCCCACCAGCAGAGGGAAGGCCCAGCCCTGGTGTCTGTTGGGGAGGGTCCTGGGCCCTTGCTGGAGATGGGGACCCTCCAGAATGGGGGTCCAGAGGATTTGAAGAGGTTAACCAGCTTGGGAGTCACTGGGCCCTTGGTCTCAGGCATCCTTGGCCCTCAGGAGATCCCAGCCCAGCCCAAACAGCAGGAGCCAGGAAACCAGCTAGTACGGTAAGTTCTGGAGAATGAGTCTGACTTCTCTAAGCCTACTCCTGTTCTCCCAAGGAAGTAGCAATAGCTATCTTTCTACCTTTCCAATAAACTTGGGCTTCTTCTAGGGTCGGTTTCAACAACCAAAGTGGTATGGACGATGTGCGTGAGGAAGGGCCAGTGCAAGTTATCAGCAACCAGGACTCTGCGAACCATACACAAGCCTCATCACAGCAAAGTCAGGTTCAGAAGGTGGAAGATAAACTGTTTTTGCAGCCTCCTAAGTCAGCTCTGGGTGTGTGCCCGTCTTGGAAGGCCTGGAGTCCAGGGCCAGCCTTTGGGCCCTTGTGGCCAGGGGCTGTAGCTGGAACGTTTTGGAGGATCAATGAGCTGCATTCTCTTCACCTGGCCTGGCTTCTGTCCCAGGCATGCTTCAACTTTCCCTTCTGGCAGAGGCCTCTAGGCCCCATGCACTTCAAGCTTCCAGGGCAGAACCATTTGCCCTTAAACCTAGAATGGAAGCCTAAGGAACTGTCTCCATTGCCTAGTGTGGAAAGCCTAACTTGTAAACCAGATGGGAAACTGGGAGGAAAGTTGGCCCTACAGAATTGCCTAAAGCCAGAGATCCCTCAAAAAACCATGAGTTTATTGGTGGACCTGGGGGGCTCAGGTGTAAAGGACAGAGTTAGCCCAGGACTGACACAGCCCTCTACAGCTCAACTACAAGCTGTAGGTGAACTGGAGGATCAAAGAAATATACAAATGGACTGCAAGGGGCCGAAAGAGGGGCTGTTCCCAGCAGGACCCATAGGGCAAAGGATGCTCTCAGCACAAGAGAGTCCCCTGGCTAGGCCAGCACAGTCAGTACCTGATGCGGAAACAGTGCCGGAAACTCTACAAGTATCCATGGCTGCAGTGATGCCTATGGTACAGCATGTTCCCACAACTCAAATGCTGCCTGCTGTCCCCACACTGCCTCCAGCTCAGAAGATGCAGGCAGTGCACACAGCACCATCAGCTCACAAAGTGCCTTCAGCTGCAGCCAAGCCAGAAGCTCCGAAAGTAGCCATGGGTCATCCAGCACCTGCAGCTCAAATGGTACCCACAGCCTTTCAAACATCTACAGCTCAAAGGATGCCCTCAGTGAAAGCACCACCTGCAGGTTCCAAAATGTCCAAAGCTCAAAATGTACCTGCAGCTAAAACAGGGCCTACAGCTTCCAAAGCACCTGCAGCCCCCCAAACCTTTGCAGTTTCTAAAACCTCTAGAACTTCCAAAATGGCAGCATCTCAGAAGTCATCCCTGGATTCAGGGCTAACCTTGAATGTAGCCAAACTCCTAAGTGAGGTCCAGCCTTCATCAAAGGGCAGTGTCACCTTCCTGAAGGGCCAGGGGGAGACCAGAAGGCAGGGTTGCCAGTCCAACAACACCCTGACCCCCAGCAGTCAGCGCCAGCCTCAGATGGGGAGTCTCCTGGGGGCTTGGGAAGGAACCTCGAGGCAATCACCTCGCCACCCGCAGGCGAACAGCACAGTGACCAGCTTCCAGAGATACCATGAGGCCCTGAATACGCCCTTCGAGCTGAGTCTGTCTGGGGAACCCGGGGATCAGGGCTTACGGCGAGTGGTCATCGATGGCAGCAGCGTGGCCATGGTGTGAGTAGCCTGGAGTGGGACGTCCCTGGGAGATGGAGCATGAGCATGCCCTCTGACCTTTATGTGGGAGATACGGGGTTCAGATGGGGAGGTGATGTCGGTACATGCCAGCTGTGTGTATTGAATCCTCACAGCAGCCTGACAAACGTAGGTTTCTGTTCTCCCTCCTTGGTAGAGGCAGACACGGGCTCAGCGAGGTGAAGAATCTTGCCCAGTCTATGAGAGCTAGTAAAGGGCTGTGGGTTCATGTCTGCCCAATGTCAAGCTCTTTCCAAGCTGACTCACACAGGATAGCTTCTGTCAACCCCAGACCAGATCTTAGAGGCCTCCCTAGCACTCACTGGCCACTCACTATTCAGTGTGCCACTTGGTAGTTACCTGCGCTAAGCACATACTCAGTACCTGGTATTTATTGATCAGTAAATACTTGTTTGTTTCCAGCTTCTAATATGAGCTCTTTGAGCGTAGACATTGCCCTCCTCGTCCCTACACGCACATGCACAGACATGCCCAATGTCTGGCAGTGTCCGGCCCCCAGTAGGTGTTCACAAAATGCTTGTTGATGGAGGGAGCAGGGTGTGGTTGGTGTCTTTGTCCACTTTGCTGCCCCAGTCAAGGGTTGGCTCTGAGGAGAAGTGTGAGGCAGGGCCATTCCTGGGGCAGGAGGCTGCCCCCTCACTCCCAACTCCCACCCAGGCACGGCCTCCAGCACTTCTTCTCCTGCCGGGGCATTGTCATGGCAGTGCAGTACTTCTGGAACCGGGGACACCGAGAGGTCACAGTGTTTGTGCCCACCTGGCAGCTGAAGAAAAACAGAAGGGTGAGAGGTGAGCTGCCTGTCCCCTGCCCACCAGTTCTTCCAGCATTTCCAGACTTCTCTTCCCTGCTTTTCTGCTCCTATCCTCCTGCCTTTTCCACTTAGCCCTTCCTTTAACCATCTCTGTCTTCTGCCTTTCACCCCCAGAGAGCCACTTTCTGACAAAGCTGCACTCCCTCAAGATGCTTTCAATCACCCCGTCACAGCTGGAGAATGGCAAGAAGATCACCACCTATGACTATAGGTGAGTCTGCTCCTCAGGCTGTCTCTCTTGGGGTCCTGGGCCCGCTGTGTCAGCTGACTTCTTGTCCCATCTGCTCTGGGAAAAGGAGGAAAATATCTCAGAGGGAATCCTGTCCAGGGAGGAAGAGGTGGGGTACCAGCACTCTGTAGGCAGAAGGACGGGCACAGGCAAGGAGAGGGCCCCAAGGCTGGCTCTGCCCAAGCCAAGGGATCTTTCTGACTTTGGGATGCCTTTTGTTAACAGACTTTCTAACACCTAGGTGACTTCTCGGGCTTCACGTGAGCATCAGAGATACCCTAGGCTGGTTTGGGTGTCAGTTAGATTGAAGTGAATGTCTCAAGAAGCTTCATCAATCTTTCCTTCCGTAGGTGTGTATAGTCAGGGTGCCAGGACTGGGTTCTGGAATTGAAGTTAGCCTGACCTAGCCCCCTAGCTGAATCCCAAGTGTCTCCCCTAAGGCTCATGGCCCATCTCAGGTCTGAGGGAGGTTATGGTTGTGCCACTGTGAGGCAGGGGCGGGGGCCTGCCATAGTCACTAGTCCTGGGCTGGAGTCAGTGTCGGGGGCGGGGGGGTGGGGGCTGGCAAGTGAGGTCTTAGCTTTCTTTTAGGCACCTCCCATCCCAGTCTGGGCATCTCCCCACTCTTCCCAAGACCCTGGGGTGGCAGGGGGACTGACAAAGAAGCTCAGGCACCCACCTCTGGAGAGCTAGTCCCCTGGGTAAGGACTCTAAGCCCACTGCCACAGAGTCCATTCCTATCCACAGTGACCCTTGAGAGCAGAGTAGAACTGCCCTATAGGTGGTATTTCAAGGCTGCCAATCTATACGGAAGCAAACTGCCATCTCTTTTCCGTCTCTTTTTCCTGTGGAGTGGTTGGTGGGTTTGACCTGCCCATCCAAGCACTTAACCACTGTGCCAGGGTTCCTTAGGTAAGAACTAATTTTTGTTAAGTGCCATCGAGTTATTTCTGACTCATAGCAATCATGTATAGGGTTTCTGAGAAGCCACTGGTGAGTTTGAACTGCCGACCTTATGATTAGCAGTTCTGTGCTCCTATAGCACCACACCAGGAAGGACTCTAGGGTAAGGACTCTGTTGTTAAATGCCATCAAGTTGGTTACCACTCACAGTGACCCTGTATAGGGTTTCCAAGGAGCAGCTGGTGGGTTTGAACTGCCAACATTGTGGTTCAAAGTCCAGTGCTGATCCTATAGCGCCACACCAGGAGTCCAAGGTAAGGACTCTAAGGGCCTCTAAAATAAAGGCTTGGGTCTGAAGGAAGATAACTGTTTTTAACAAAGCACCCTCTGCTGGGCATTTGTGGACTATCATGCAGGAGTAGTAGCAATGGAAATTTTCAGGGACTAGGAGTTTTCCTTTGCTTTCTTTCCTGGTTCTGTGCCTCTTTGACTCCTGGTGTTGCGCTGGCACTTAACAACAACAACATACCTCTTTAGAGGAGACGTGATCCTTGAGAAAATGAATTTGTTTTTCAGCTGTGTGTGTATATGTGTTAGCATGTATACATGTTTTAGCATGTATGTGGATGTTGTGCATTGGTATAGAATAGGAATGGAATATTGTGTGCATGCAGTGGCAGGCACTGAGCTACACACTTAAATGCACGATCTCATTCAATTGAATCCTCACAATAGTATAAGGCAGGTATTTTATTTCCAACTTAGAGATGTGAAAACGGAAGCAGCATATATGTATGTGTGAACAGTACATTGTTTCTGTACATGCGAATGTCCATGTGTATAATAGGGAGGTGTATGTGCATATTTAGTTGAATGTGTGTGCATCCAAGTTCCCCTTCTCAACGGCTACTGGATGAAACAGATGGGAAGTTCAGGAATCCCAGATGGCTGCACAGGGGGCCCTGACTCCCTGACTAGGAAGGGTAGCATTTTTGTCACCTCCATGTGAGATGGCAAGGATGTTGTTTTTTTTTTTAAGAAGATTCCGAGGAGTGAGGGGCTGCTTACTGGGTCATTAGTGACTCCCCGTTTTCCTGCAGATTCATGGTTAAGCTGGCAGAGGAGACAGATGGCGTCATTGTCACCAACGAGCAGATCCACGTCCTGATGAACAGTTCCAAGAAACTTATGGTTAAAGATCGGTGAGGTGACTCCCTGGGTGCTGTGCTATTCCTTTTCCTTAGGATGTCAGGCAGCCCTTGGGCAGGGGCGATACTGGGGCCTGAGAGGAGGGCTTCGGGGAGCACTCACCCCTGTCTCTGGAGGAGATGGAGGAGGCACCCAGATGATGACATGGTGGGGGTGTGTCTAGGGCTCCTCTATGACCATGCCTTCTCTTTCTGGGCCCAGCTTGCTACCCTTCACCTTTGCTGGGAATCTCTTCATGGTACCAGATGACCCCCTGGGACGTGATGGCCCCACCTTGGATGAGTTTCTGAAGAAGCCAAACAGGTAATGGGCCAGACTTCCCCTTCCTTCCCAATCCCTCCTGCGAGTGATGGAAAACTTCCCTTTAGTGCTAGCCAACATTTGTTCTGTGTTTCATAAGAAACAGAGTGTTTGTACTATTTTCTTATGCCATGTTAATTGTGTGCTAACCTGGATGCTGTGTCAGATTCCTTTGTGTGAATTTATGTGGTAAGAGTCCTGGTAAGTGGCCATCTGGGCCACTCAGGGATGGGTAAGGCACCGTGAGGTTTTCATGGACGACGTCTACCTCTTGGATGGGTTCTTCCATCAGGAACCCCCAGCCACTCTAGTCTGCTTTTTTGATGTAGGTTGGATACCGACATTGGCAACTTCCTGAAGGTGTGGAAGACTCTTCCTTCCAGATCCACCAGCATCTCTGAGTTGAGTGATGCTGCTGACCCTGAGCCTCTGGAGAGTCCACAGCATATGGAGGAAGTCAAGGTGGAGAAGGAGAGTCAGGATGAGGAGCTGAGAGAAGAGCAGGAGATTCAGAGTTTGGTTAAGGAAGATGATCTTGACTCTTCCCTGGCATCAGTGTTTGGAGTTGAGTGTCCTTCTCTGTCAGAGGAGATCCTTCGGTGCCTCAGCCTCCATGACCCTCCTGACGGGGCCCTGGACATTGATCTCCTCCCTGGGGTGGCTTCTCCCCACCTGGGTATCCCTTGGGATGGGAAGGCTCCCTGCCAGCAGGTTCTAACCCACCTGGCCCAGCTGACAGTCCCCAGCAACTTCACTGCACTCTCTTTCTTTGTGGGGTTCATGGACTCCCACCGGGATTCCATCCCTGGCTATGATGCCCTTGTGGGCCCCCTGCACAGCCTCCTTAAGCAGAAGCCAGACTGGCAGTGGAGCCAGGAGCATGAGAAGACCTTCTTGTCCCTGAAGCGAGCCCTGGTGTCTGCCCTCTGCCTCACGGCTCCCAATTCCCAATTGCCCTTTCTCCTGGAGGTGATGGTGAGCAGAGTGGCCTTGACAGCCACCCTCTGCCAGGAGCACTCAGGGAGAAGGCATACCATAGCCTATACCTCGAAACCCCTCCTCCCTGATGAGGATAGTGAAGGCCCCCAATCTGGGGGAGACAGCCCCTATGCGGTGGCCTGGGCCCTCAAGCATTTTTCCCGCTACATTGGGGACCTCCCTGTGGTCCTGGACCTCGCCTATGCCTCCCGGACTATGGTGGACTCAGAGGCTAGGCAGGACCTTAGGATTTCCAAAGCATGGCTGATCCGATGGTCCCTTTTGGTACAGGACAAAGGCAAGAGGGCTCTGGAATTGACCCTTCTTCAGGGTCTGTTGGGAGAAAACCGACTCCTGACGCCCACTGCCTCCATACCACGGTTTTTCCAGGTTCTACCTCCTTTCTCTGACCTGTCCACGTTTGTCTGCATCCACGTGTCAGGCTACTGCTTTTACCGTGAGGATGAGTGGTGTGCTGGCTTTGGTCTCTATGTCCTGTCTCCCACCAGCCCCCCTCTCTCCCTCTCCTTCTCCTGCTCCCCCTACACGCCAACCTATGCTCACCTAGCTGCTGTGGTCTGCGGGCTTGAACGCTTTGGCCAGTCTGGCCTCCCTGTGGTTTTCCTCACTCACTGCAACTGGATCTTCAGCCTTCTCTGGGAGCTCCTTCCCTTGTGGAAGGCTCGGGGCTTCCTCTCTTCAGATGGAGCCCCACTACCTCACCCAGATCTGCTCTCTTACCTTATCTCCCTCACCTCTGGCCTCTCATCGCTCCCATTTATCTACAGAACCTCATACCGGGGGTCCTTGTTTGCAGTAACAGTGGACACGCTGGCCAAACAGGGTGCCCAGGGCGGTGGACAGTGGTGGAGTTTGCCAAAGGATTTGCCAGTCCCTGTAGTGTCTCCCCGTACCAAGGGCAAGAAGCCTGACCTGCTGGCACTACAGCAGAATGATGGCATCCTGGCAGATATCATTGCCAAGCTGCAGGCTGGCCAGAAGTTGTCCAGCTCATCTCCCTTCACTTCCGCCTTTAACTCCCTCAGCCTTGATAAGGAGAGTGGACTCCTTATGTTCAAGGGAGATAAGAGACCCAGAGTCTGGGTCGTCCCAAGGCAACTCCGAAGGGATCTGATTTTCTCTGTGCATGACCTCCCCGTGGGGGCCCACCAGAGGCCGGAGGAGACCTTTAAGAAGCTGCGGTTGCTAGGGTGGTGGCCTGGGATGCAGGAGCATGTGAGGGAGTACTGTCGGAGCTGTTTGTTCTGCACCCCCAGGAATCTCCTAGGCAGTGAGGTGAAGCCTATTGAGTCTCTGTGGCCCATCAAGTCGACTGCTCCCTGGTCAAACCTGCAGATTGAGGTGGTGGGTCCGGTCACCATCAGTGAGGAGGGCCACAAGCATGTGCTTATTGTGGCCGACCCTAACACCAGGTGGGTGGAGGCATTCCCGCTGAAGCCTTACACTCACACAGCTGTGGCTCAGGTGCTGCTGCAGCATGTGTTTGCCAGGTGGGGTGTTCCCATGCGGCTGGAGGCCACCCAGGGTTCTCAGTTTGCCCGGCATGTCCTCATGAGCTGTGGGCTAGCCCTGGGGGCCCAGGCAGCCTCCCTGAGTAGGGACCTCCAGTTCCCTTGCCTGATAAGCTCTGGGGCCTACTGGGAATTCAAGAGGGCCCTCAAGGAGTTCATCTTCCTGCATGGGAAGAAGTGGGCAGCTTCCCTGCCACTGCTGCACCTAGCCTTTAGGGCCTCCTCTGGGGAGGCCACACCTTTCCAGATTCTGACGGGAGGTGAGGTGAAGCTGTCCGAGCCCTTGTGGTGGGAGATGAGCAGTGCCAATATCGAAGGCCTCAAGATGGACATCTTCCTGCTCCGGCTGATTGGAGAGTTGCTGGAGCTTCACTGGAGGGTGGCCGAAAAGTCGTCCGAGAAAGCGGAAAACAGGCGTTTTAAGCAGGAGAACCAGGAGAAGGAGTGGAATGTGGGTGACCAGGTCCTTTTGCTGTCCCTCCCAAGGAATGGCAGCAGTGCCAAATGGGTAGGCCCCTTCTGTATTGGGGACCGGCTGAGCCTGTCTCTCTACAGGGTGTGGGGCTTCCCAACCCCAGAGAAGCTGGGCTGCATCTATCCCAGCAGTCTGATGAAGACCTTTACCAAGAGTGGCACTCCTCTGTCCTTAAAGGAATTGGAGCAGTGAGCTGGAGCATGGTGGAGCGCCCTTTGCTCCAGGGTTTCTGCTGCTAGTTCTCCCCACCCCCTGCAGTGTTCTCACACTTGGAGGTCCTCAGTTGTGCTTTTGTGGAGAAGTTACTTCCTAAAGCTGAACTGAATTGCTTTAAACTAGGGACCAGCGTTCCTATGGAAATCCCCCAGTTTGAGGTATTCAGAGACTCTTCCAAAGGCCGTCAGATATGGGCCTCTGTCAATTTTAGCTTGGAGTCGAGTAGAAAGTCTACCAAGCTAGGCCAAGCCCAGTCTCTTTTCCTTAAGTATTCCCTTTGTCCAGTCACATACGCATCCCCAAATCTTCATGTCTTTGCCATGAAACAGTGTGACCCTATGTAGACTTTAGAATTAGAACTCTTTTCTCCTAAACGGAAACCTCGAATGTGGACTCCTCGCTCCAACCTATTCACTTGGAACCCTTTGCCTTTGGAGCTGTCAGCTGACCAATGATGTGGGCTGTTGGGAGGCAGCTGGCTCCCTGGCTTCACAGGTGGCTTTCTCAGGCCAGGCCAGTCCCACCAGGCTGTTAAAGATGGCAGTGGCTTGGAGCTGGGGTGGGAGGAGATGCCCACTTGTCAGCATGGATAGGGTAAGGGGAGAATGGGTCCAGCCTACCTCATTTTACTTCAGCCAGTGGAGATGACTCCCTCCAAGTTTTGATGGTGTCATCTCCACAGGAATCAGGATCTTGATGCCAATCATGGCATCTCCACCTGAAGAGCTGCTTAACTAGATCAAGGGGCCCAGGCGTCTGTTTCAGGGGAAGGGAAGGGTTTCTGAAATGAGCAGTCTGGTACACACTGATGTGCCAACATGGCTATACCTCCCAATCTCTCCCCAACCCCATCCTAAAGCCCACAGGCCTCTGCTCCTGCTTCATGTACCCCTAGATCCCCAGACCCTCCATATTTGTGATTGCTTTGGATCCCTCAGTCCTGTGACCTTGCCTTCCTTTTAGAGCAAAGCTTGAGCCCCCTTAGCCACTCTTGGCCAAGACCACTCTGGCAGCGAGAGGGAATGTTTCACATGGAGTGTGTGCTGCCAATGCAATGCGCATGCATCCACGTCTGAATTGCTGCTCCTGCTCCTGACAGAGTGGACTCCAGCAGAAGGCCAGTCCGGAGTCACCTCGGCTGGGCACTGTTACATCTCCAGAAGTCAAGCCAGTCCCCTGAGCCAGCTCAGAGGGCCAGAACACTTGGCAGTGCAGAGCCTGTCATCAAGCCCTACTTGTTTGTTTTATAGCTGAGGAGAGGCTCAGAGAGGGACAGTGACTAAGCTTCCTGATTCCCACAAACAGCATTCTAGTGACAGGTTCAAGCTAGAGCATTTTCCAAAATCCTATACCTATATCGACCCTATTGCCTCTCTTCTCTGTTCTCCCCCAACTCCCCACCCCCTGTCCCCAGTTCTCCGTCTCCAAGGTTTTGTGGACAGGCTTCGGAGAGGTTGCATTTAAACCATTTCTAGCTCTAACTCTGTCCAGGAAAGAGCGAATACCTGGGTGCTAGCTGAAAAACAGAAAGGTGAGCTGTGAGGATTTTAGCAGATACTCTTTCCTTTGCCCCTTCCTCCTTCTAATGGTGTTTTCAACCCATCTCTCCCTCCCCAGTACTATATGCACTTCTGTTAATTACAGTTATGAGCTTATTCCCCCTTTAAATGACTTTTTTTTCATTTGATTTGTAAATAAACAGATCAAACTGGAACTAATGTCCCATTCTTTTTTTTAGCTTTGTCTTCACCATGAGAACTATGGGAGAGGGGGACAGCCATAGGCTAAGGTTGCGCTGTATTTCCCAGGCAGACCTGTTGTTAGGTGTTGTTGAGTTAGCTATGACTCATAAAGACCCTATAGACAACAGAACGAAACACTGACCAAACCTGCACAATCCTCACAACTGTAGCTATACTTGAGCACACTGCTGATGCTACTGTACCAATCCATCTCATTGGGGGTCGTCTTTTTCGCTGATCCTCTACTTTATCAAGCATGATATCACCCAGTGACTGGTCCCTCTTAATAACATGTTCAAAGATTGAGAGACGAAGTCTTGCCATTCTGGCTTCTAAGGAGCATTCTGGCTTCTTCTAACCCAGATTTATTTGTTCTGGCCGTCCATGGTACTTGTAATATTCTCCAGCACCATAACTCAAATTCATCAATTCTTCTATGGTATTCCTTACTCGTTGTACAACTTTCACGTGCATATGAGGCTATTGAAAATATCATGGCTTGGGTCAGGTACACTCAGACTGACATCTTTACTCTCTTGAACACTTTGAAGAGGTCTTGTGCAGCAGATTTGCCTAATGATTTCTTGCTTCTATGAGTGGATCCGAGCAAAATGAAGTCTGTGACAACTTCAATCTTTTCTCCATTTATCATGATGCTATTTATTGGTCTTGTTGTGAGGATTTTTGTTTTCTTTATATTGAGGTGCAATCCATACTGAAGGCTGTGGTCTTTGATCTTCATCAGTATTTTAAGTCCTTTTTGCTTTCAGCAAGCAAGGTTGTATCATCTGCATATCACAAGTTGTTAATGAGTCTTCCTCCAATCCTTCTGCCACATTTTCCTTCATATAATCCAGCATCTCAGATTATACATTTTAAAACCTGTGAAATACCTTCCTGAGGCCCTCTGGTCATGGTCTTATTTTGTAGGTGAGACCAAGGCTCAGCTCTAGCTTTGCTTGGGTGTGGGGTGGATCACAGGTAATGCAAGTGACATGGTGACTTGCCTCTTTGAAGCTCACAGTCATTTAGGGTTCACAGTTGATTCAATGAGGAAATACAATACAGGGCAAGAAGGGAAACAGTGTGGCATAGGAACATAAAAACAGGTATCTGGGGCTTCGGGGACATATGATTCTGAGAGGTCTTGTCTTGACTCCATTTCTCCAAAAGCAGTGCACAGGTACTTACTGAAGGTCAGAGGACAAAAGGGTCACGAGTCCTAAGTGGAAGATATAAGTCCTAAGTAAAACCCCTTGATTTTACTCATCTTACTCATGAGAACTTTAAGCAATTATCAGATTTTACCCACATTGACTTTTCAGCCCTCTGATGGAGTGATGTCTCTTTTTTGCTGTCAAACAATTTGCAAAGTCTAAGTAGAGATTTGAGACTCCTCCTGTGTTTGGAGGGATGAATAAATGAGGTTGGTCTGCAACTGAGTACTGTGACCACCTAGACTACTATGAGTCTGCAGTGCAGTGGATTGCTCCATTTGGTTCTTCCACCCATAGTCTCTGTAACTCCCACTACATAATGATTGCTAGGTCTGGATAGGAGAAGGTGGGCGAAACCGCTGATATGATATGATTCAGTTGTGAGTGGTTAACAGAGTTAGTTGCGATTGTAAAAACTTGGAACTGTTAATGTGGGTATAAAATAAGCTGTCTCAGAAGATCTCACTACTGTAAAAGAAGAGGAGCCAGGGGAGAAGCACATTTTTTGGACCCAGGGATCCCTGAGTATTGAACCTCCTTGATCCAGGGACAGAAGGCTGTGACAGTAGAGGAGTGGCAGAGGACTAGCAGCAGCAGAACCAAGAACCAGAGCAGGAGACAGAGCAGAGGGAGCAACAAGTAAAGCCAAGTGACTCTGGATAGGGGGTTGGCTTGCAGAGTGGGTGGGGCACCTCCAGACATTTACCTTGGGGGGGGGGAGGGGGAGCTAGGTCTGTCTGAGTAGCAGGAGGAATCAGAGTAACGTCTGTTGACTCTAATGATAAGGAAGTTGTTAGTCACTTCATATGCTTGTGAAAGTTGGGACAATATAAGGAAGACTGAAGAAGAATCAGTTCATTTGAATGCTGGTGTTGGAGAAGAGTATTAAAAGTACCACAGACTGTCAGAAGAACAAACAAATCTGTGTTGGAAGAAGAACAGCCAGAATGTTTCTTAGAAGTCAGGATGGCAAGACTTTGTTTCTCATATTTCAGGCATGTCCTGGAGAAGGACATCATGCTTGGTAAAGGGAGTCAGTGAAAAAGAGGAGGGCTCAGAGACAACAGGGAGTACAAAACCATGGAAGTTGGGCATCTAGAAGCAGGGAATGGTCAAGAGGGCCAAATGTTAGGGCGAGACTGAGTAGCAGAAAGAACTGGAATAACATCTGTTGACTTTACTGATAAGGAAGTTGTTAGTAGTCAGATAGCGTGACACAGTGGCAGCAACAATGAGCTCAAACGTAACAACAGTTTTGAGGATGGTGCAGGACAGGGCATTGCTTCATTCTGTTGTGAACAAGACTGCTATGAGTTGGAACCGACTCAACAACAGTTTTGTCGACACGCAGAGCTACAGCCAAATGCCTTCAGGTTGAGGCTCCCTGTGGAGGAGTGGTGTGTCCTGTGGGCATTTATCCAGCAATCCTAAAAGAACTTTGTGATATTGCTGGGCAGAGAGAGGCCTGCCTATGGGCATGGCTCAGAAGAGGCTGTCCTGACTAGAAGAATTATGAACATTGCTGCCCTTGAATTGTAACCTGTTAACTTTCCTAATCGACCCCATAACTGTGACTACGGTGTCTGACTTCCGTGTGACCACAGGAAGGAATCATGGGACCTAGCTGAGTAGAGAGGGCTGTGGGAGGAACCGTTGCTGCTGTATTTTTGCAGAGCCACTGTTTTCTCTTTTATATCCAACCTCAATTTTCTCATTTGGGGCCCTGACAGGTGAGTTTTCCCAAGTCTTTAATAGTCAGTATGTATACAGTTTCATGACATAGCACAAACTATACAGAACACCCCCTGGTGCCTCTCATTTCCATGTTAAAATTTACACAAACTACCTTGTTAGGATTGCCCTTTGATAGTAACCATTTCCTAAATCCATGTGCTCATGGACAAGGAGCTCAGGTAGCGTCGTGGTTACGAATCGGGCTGCAAACCGCAAGGTCAGCAGTTCGAAACTACCAGCTGCTCCTCGGAACTGACTCGACGGCACTTTAACAACAACAACA